AACAAAATAAATATTGTGTAATACTACAAGTGTGTGAGGCACCGACTTCAAACAGACTAGAAGGGACTATTGCTATTATAATGTTACCTGTTATATTGAGGGTACTCATTACAGTATTTTTACTAAGATTTGTAATTATTTTTTAAGTTTTAGTGCTTGCTTGCATTCTTTGTCAGTATTGCTTGAAGTCGGTTCAACATTTTTTTTAAAGGATTTATTATGTAATTAAGGTTAAACGAGCAGAGTGGTCACCTGATGGTACGTGACTACCGACGCCCATGGACACCTGCAACTCAAGAGATATAAATGCGTTGCCGCCCTTTGTGGGTCCCTCCCTTGAATAAGGGGGGAGGGGGTGAGGGAATAATACGAGTAATAATATTTTCGGACATCTGACACACAACGCCATCGTGTTTCAAACTAAGCAGAGCTTGTATTATGAAAGCTAGATGCACTGATAGAATACTTAGATACTTTTTGTACAAGTATTTAACACCGGTTCTTTGTGAGTGGTGTTACTCCGGACAGACCGTATGGCTGAAGCATTGCTCTCCCACGGTAGAAGTCCCTTGTTTTCTAAAAAAAAGACAATAATTGTATCTATATACCTACCTTTCTCATAAAGTAACTCGCATGCTGTTTAAGTAACACAAAGATGCAATACATTTTTAACTTAGTGTCAAATTGTACTGTCGGAACTAACAAAATACAAAAAAAAAGGGTAATAAGTCTCTACTACGTCTGTGTACGGCGCATGAATAAGCACAACATTCACAACTAATTTGAACTGTGTGCCGCTGTAATAAGGTAGATCTTGGCTGTATTTTTTCTTCACCGGTTAAGTAATATAATATCCCGGTGACGTTTTCCATTTGTATGCAAATGTAGACGACAAGGCGACGATGCCGCGGCGATGCACGACGCCACGACACGACTCGGAATGGATGCGTCTTAAGTAACGCATCTTTTACAATGAAAGTTTCTTTAGTCCCTTATATTTAGAGTTTAAAAACATAAAGATAAAAATTGGGTATTGAGAAAAAATAGTTTATTTATTGGGAGAAAATGATCAAGAATTTATAAAACTTATCATATCTTGACGTGAACGGAATTTATATACATAAAAACCTATGTTCTAGGACCTAGTAGACCAAAAATAATACTAGTTCCATTTAACTGGACTAACTATATTGATGCAATCTCACAATACTTAAAAATGTATTGTACAAGCCACTAAAGCAAGACTTGAAACCACGTTTTTTTTTTTATTTTTTTTTTTTTTAAAAAGACAACTCCCGCATTAGGAAAATATCCTGTGTCGCGGGGGACTTTACAAACATACATGAAACGGACACAAATAACACCCAGACTTGGAACAACGATTTGTGGATCACACAAAGTGTCGTCCCATGTGGGGTTGAACCCACAACACTCGGCGTAGTAGGAAGCGGCGTGGCGACCGCTTAAACCACTACGCCATCCGTGCGCCATCAAATGCTTTAATATCATTAAAATACCTCATTTTATTGAAATAAATAATAATATGTACACATGCCTCTTGTATAATTTGAATTTTAATACATGTCTATGTATATTATATATGTAACGGTCTAATTTCATGCCTCATTATACAATCTTATAAATCCTCGATTATTTTCTCCCTCTGCTAAAACACATATAATTTTACACTTGTCTCAGGTATGTTCCCGCTCCTGTGGCGCAATGCGTTTGTCACTACTAAGATCTCTAATCCTACCCTCCTGAATCACTTACGACCAATTTATATTTTTCTCTTCATCTCCAACGTTCTTAAGGCCTGTGTCTACCAACACCTACCACAATAAGTATTTATACCCACATGACTACGAAGTATGAAAAAAAAAGAATAATCCCTAACAGATTCAATTATAAAGTGGGCTAGTGGTACACCTATCACCAAATTCCAAGAAGCATTTAGAAATATGTTTTACGAGGGAGAGCCATGCTTCGGCACGAATGGGCCGCCTCGACCGAAGTGATACCACGTCCTCACAGAAAACCGGTGTGACCATGGGTGGCGGTAGTTGCTTACCATCAGGTGACCCGCTGCTCGTTTGTACCCTTATACCATAAAAAAATAGATATATTTATTTTTTTAGACTCCAGTTCTCAATGAAATATTTAGAACTGGGGTCGCTTCGTATGAAATGCGTACTTTTGTACAATGAAAAAAATAACTAAACATCTTAAATTAAAATAACTAAAGTACTTACTTTGATGGCGAATCGGATTGATAATTAAAAAAACACTCCTCTATTCATCTCCTAGCTTCATCAAGAAGTACCTCCTAGCTCCAGTATCAGATCTGCTTCAACGTACTATAATTATGGTATTCTCAGTATAACTACTATTATACACACACAAAGATTGCCATAATTCAGCCTCTGGCTAGTTAGGGACCGGACTGCCGTGTGTAAGATGTGTGAAGTTATTTTTATTCACTTTATTACATTACATATACTTTTGATTACATTTTTAAATATATTACAAAATAATAATACATTTATAAATATATAAATATAGTAGACCACCGCCATCGGGTACAGGGACCAAGGCACCGGTGGTTAGGACTCCAAAGACAGGAACTTCCTCACTATACGGGCCGTGTCAAGGGGAACAAGTTAAGTTATTATTATGTATATTTCAAGTAAGTTACAAGATACATACATAGTTAGTTAAGTAGTTAGTTTCTTAAACTCAATAACTAAAAAACAATTTACTGTTGACCCTTTCATATCTTTCATGACTTTAGTGGTTTGTGTAACGGACTGCTATTCCAAAGGTCGCGGGTTCGATGCCCGCTCAAGTCTAACATTTGTGTGCATGAAAATCTAATGTTTGATTTGGTCTGGGTGTTTCTATGTATAGGTTGTGTTCACAAAAAAGGTATATATGTATTTATATCAGTTGTCTAGTACCCATAGTACAAGATCTGCTTTATTTGGGACTAGATGGCGTTGTGTGAATGTAGTAGAGTAAAAAAAGTAATTAAATGGGACGGAAAACTAGAAAAGGACGAACGTTCTTTTATATTTTAATTAAAAATCTTCATTACATTGATTACAAAAAATATCCGTTAACAATGTTCAACAAGTCTTAACCTACATTCTTAGATGAAGAATGATTCTCACTTAAAATATTAGCAGACACAAGCAGGTGGATGCAGCGAGAATTGAATCTGGTTCTTCTGAGAGTAAACAAGATCTGATCGTATCATTTATAACGTGCGATTTATATAGCCCCGCGACAACGGCCATTACTCAATACACTGTACAGGAGGATACAGAAGTACAACGCGTTTTGAACAAAGCGTGGGTATGTAATCATTAGGGAATTGTCCGTAAATATATGTAAAACGGCTTTGTTAAGGGAATGTTCAATTTGATATCGATTGAGTAATATTTAGATTGTATAAATAAATTGCTTCCAAACTAATTTTTAAACTATTAGAGAAATGTTGTATCGGTATTGCATGAGGCAAAGTAAGTATTAACTGATTGAAGGGGGGAGAGGAGGGTGGGAGAGTCATGTTAAGTACATGAGCTAGACTCGACCGGAGTGATAGCACGGCCTTACAAATATAAGGCCTCTACAAAATAAATAAAAAATACTTCAATAAAAATATTTTTTTTAAAGTAATACGATTTTGATATTTTAAATAAAAAAAAATCTAGCTCTATTTAACTGGTTGTACCTACATATTGAGGGTGGGAGAGTCATGTTAAGTACATGGGCTAGGCTCGACCGGAGTGTTACCGCGGCCTTACAAATAATAAGTCCTGTACAAAATAAATAAAAAATACTTCAATAAAAATAAACTTAAGGTAACTAAATAATTTAATAATTATTTAATTAATTAACTGAACTTACTTTATAAAATATTAACATTACAACTCCCATCTCTGAGAACAGCCCGTCATTTATGAGAATCTAATCTAGTCACTGCATATACTGAAGAGGTATTTTGTAAAATAAAATAAGTCGTTAACACTTAACATACCCATGACAGGGCATACAAATAATCAAATACAATTTAATCTACAAAAATATTTTATTTCTAAACACGCTGTGCATTATAACTACTGTAAATCCACTACTCTGTGCTATGGGCCGCGTCAGTTGTCATCAGTCTATTTTTTTTTCTATAGTTCCGTGGTCAGTTATCGGCGTGCGTCAGATGTGAGATCATAGAGCACCCCAACCATTTTGAGCTTTTTTTACACGCGGTCCACTCACGAGCCTCGTTTTTTAGCCTTCCTGAAATAAATGACGTCATTTAAACGACTTTTGGTGACTCCGATTCAATAAGAAAAGATGACGAGTTTCTTTATAAAGATTTAATGTACTTTGCAATATGAATACTTAAAAAAAAACTTGCAATCGTCAGTTCTGTAAAAAAAAAAATTTATGGTGTAGGAAGGCAAACCAGCTGACGGATCACCAAATGGTCGCCCACAGACACCCTCAAATCAAGATTGACAAGTTTGTTGCCATGAACCCCCTCCCGCTCCTGCATAATCAGTTGGTTGGGCTTCGGTAACCTCACTCAGTAACTAAAAAGCAACTAAAGATATCCTTAACAGCGGTTTTTCATTATCTCATCATTTGTGCCCAAGCATAGGTCTCTCACATGTAGCATAAAATTATAAAATGCTATTTAAAACACCAAATAACATCAATACGTTTATAAGCTTTGCAATATAAACTGATAGTGAATTAGGAGAAACACTGTATTTAATTTATTTGATTTCTTAACATGTATTTATAGTGAAAAATAATTCGCCATTAATTTGCAAGAACTTACAGGCTTCTGAAAAAATAAAATAATGGAATAAATAATATACATTAGTATAAAACAATTTGAGAGTTTCATCAATAACCAGCGTGTTGTCAATCCTTTACATTCTTTCCCTTATACTAATTCTAATGTCGGCCTCCTAGTGTTATTTTAAATACATTAATTACCTCTTATGCCATAACACTTCGAGAGCAAAAATCATCCAAGCCAGAACGGTCATCTCAAACAACAGCAAAAAGGCAGGAGCGGCCTGACCAAGAGCAAGTGCGCGCGGCTTGATGCCGGAACAAGCAGGAATCGTGCCGGCAAAACGAGCTCGAGTAGCTTTCATGTGGCCACGCTCAGTCAATCGCAATAAACTGTAAGAATATACAGACAACGCTTTAGATGGTAAACACAGTGTTTTTCGAAAATAATTGTTAAAGATGCCAAGGATTTATTCGTACTATAAAAGGACTATTTTTATGTATATATCTAGTTAGCCGGTTATTCCCGATTTAGAAGAACCTGCGATGACAACAGATAAGAACAAGATTGAACGCGTTGCCAAAAACTACATTTCTCTAAAGAAATATTTTTTTGCAAGGCTTGACAGGCAAAAGTCATATAATTCTTAGGGCACAATGTGTATGCAGGAGGCATTTTCTAAAAGGATTCTACAAAAAGCTAATATTTGTAACATAAATATTTTAGGTAACTCACCTCCAATCTAAAAATTCTTTATAGGGGCTTTTCTTCTGTACCATAATGTAGACGTGGGCGGGCATCATCATCTGCAAGGCACCGAGGTTACAGAGGTCCTCTTCCTCAAAAGTCTTAGAGATAACTTGGCTTGCTGTGTAGGGCTCAGTGTGGAACGCATATTCTATAGAGCATTCGTACAGAGCAAACGTGATAACAGTATAAAATTATGGCACACGCACATATGTGTCTAATTTAACAGTAGAATAATAATGATATGTAATTGTAAAAAACTCGATACGCAGTTATCGATAGGATTATCTAGGAAGATAAATACTTAATAGGGGCAACAGTACCGGCGGCAAAGTGCTATTCCAAAATTATTTTATTAGATTTTTGAAGTCCCTAGGTACATGTGGTGACGGATTTAAGAATACGGAGTCTCACCACCCCTGTTCATCCCATGGGTGTCGTAAGAGTAAACTATTAAAGGCTTGTTGATGATGATGATGATGACATTTTTGAATTAATTACGTTCTTAGTTCCTCTTTTAAGGATACATACCATTAACAGTATAACAAATAAAGTTAAATTGTAACGAATAACTAGCAACAACTACGAATTAATAACATGGTCATATTTATTTAAATTACCTAAAAAATATCGTATTGAATATTTACTTACTGCCTGTGCGCACGAGTTCAATCCCATTGTTGACAGACTGCAGAACATCAACAGTCCTTTTACCGTTTATCACCTTTTTGTCTCTTAGTTCATCTTCTTTTGGGTTTGTAAAGCCACTGTAGTAAAAGAATCCAGGATTCTGAATAAAAAATAGGTAACAATTATGAATTCTCGTAGTGACAATACAAAAAGAAGTGATAGTTTACGTTTGTACGTACGTCAAGCCAACCCCTGGTGTAGCCAATATCTTCAAATATGATTTCAAAATCACTATTTATGAGCCCATCGAGATTGGCAATAGAAGGAGCTGCTGCATTCAGGAGCCACGACACGACACTACTTGTATAATAATTGTACAACAGCATGCTCATGACGCCAATCACCATTAATGTCAACCGACGACCTTGGGAACAAAAAATAATCTACAATACAATGAAATGAAAAAAAATATTTTACTGATGAAAATAACACCAATTAATTTACCTTGGCTTTCTTTCTCTTCTGGTAAGGGGACTCCGTCTTCAAAAGCTGAGGAGTTATAATTAAAATTTCTGAATGAAACACTGAATTCTCAATTAACTGCTAAATGCCGATCGCAAATATAATATATTAATTTAAGTATTTAAGAAGATTCGATAGACAGTTTAGATAACTATAGTAGAGGCCCTTATGAATTCATTTTATGAATATTTGAGCTGAACAAAGTGAATTTAAAACCCATGAAGCCATAAAACACATATAACTTGTTTGATAATTTTGATTAGGTATAATATTCCACTTAAGTTCTACCGCCACGCCAAAGAGCAGTCGAAACTATCAAAGCCATTAACAGTGCCATCATAAACAAAGTACTCACCGTCTTGACACAAGATAGCAAAGACACTAAAGAATGCATATGTTCCAGGTTCTGGCCTGTTCTCCATCAGAGCTGCTCCAGCCAAAACCATTGTGCAAGCGATGCAACTAAACAGCGCGCACAACCAAACGCCGTAAGACATTGGAGAAAGGAACTGGTTCTCATAGTCTCCGACTCCTTTGTTGGGCATGAGATAGTATATTTTAGTCCTATTAAGATAAAAAAAAAATACAATTACGAATTTTGGTATCAAACTACCTTGCACCGCTTGTCATAGCAGATTGATTACTACAAAAGCTTTTAAAACCCATAATATTAAAAACTTTACTGTAAATTAGTTGTCGGAGGATGTATAATGTCAACCCAATCGAGCCATTTCGGAAATATTCTGGCACATGTGCTTGACAAGTCCTGCTCTTCCCAAAGAAGTGAATTTGTCACAGCCTGCAAAGTCATACGGAAAAAAGTTTATTCCTATTTTTTTTTTACCCCATTAGAATTTCATATTTCACAGGTTATTTCCATAGAAAATATTATTTTATCAAATGATTAAAATATTCTGGCAGATAGCAAAAATACCTTCAGCTTTACTTTGAAAAAAAAAAGTTTAGTTGCTTAAAAGATTACAATTCCAAGAAAAACAGCTTTTGCGATGTTCTGAATTAATTTTAAGTTTATTAGTACAATAAAGAATAATGTTAAGTAATTCCTGTATATTAACGAGGTTAAGAACTCATGTTTGCCAAATATTTTGTTTACTCTACTCTTGGTACCGTATCAATTGATTAAATTATGTAATCAAAACTGATAAATACCCTTTGTTACAATTTAAAATGTGCAAGTTATTATAGATAAACACCATTTATAATTCCAGTTTAATGTTTACCAGTGTGGAATTTCTTTCAGGCGAGCCGATCCAACGTCCCGCAATACTGTAGTCAAATCTGTGAAAATGAACAAATGTCAAAACACAATGTCGAACAATAACATCAATGCTTTGTAGTGAGCCAGTGATGTAGAAAAAGTCTATATTTTTTTAATTTATATTTTTTCTCGTCATCGACATTTTAGTCTTTAGGCTCCTGATGTTTTATTTATTTTTGTGTTTGTTTTATTTTAATTTTAAATGTAAACTCCTTTTAAAATGAAACAATAAAACTGATAAAAATCAGATGTGACTTTCGAAAGCTTGATTGGTTAGTTGGTCTGGTTGTATTGGTGGTTGTTCTAGTCATCATGTGCCTAGTGATCCTGCCTGCGGAGCTAGAGCTTATAAAACTGTAGTATCAGGCGGCCGTGTGGGAGCAGTTTTTATTATAATATTGTGATACATATTTTTAGAAGTAGAAGTAGACAAGAAGATGCTATACCTTACTACATTTGATAGAAGATTATTACAACTAACCTGAAATTATGTTGCTCTTTCAAAATGTTTAGCAGTTGTGATGTAATTTTCGTCATCGCCGCCACTCCAGCAGTGTACCCAATCTCCGATAAAATATCCGGACTGAACTCTTTGGGTCTCTCTACAATCTTAAAAATATTTTCAAAAATATTTAAATAAAAAACAAAGTATTCTAAATACGTAAATACACACACGTGTTTAGAACCATTTCTTTTTCTGTGTTCCAGACATACATACATACAGCCCTAGACTAGGTCAAGAAACAACAAGTCTTGAATAGAACTAGGGCCCCTAGTTCTTATCAAGACTTGTTGTTTCTTGTATTATTTTTACAACATAGTTACGTTAGCTAACAATAACTTACCCAAAGTCACTAACATTGTCAACAACATTGTACCTCAGAGCACTGATATCCAACAATAGATGCGCAGTCAATATCAAACATGGCACATGATTAATATTTTGATTCGCTTTTGATTATTTTAAGAAAATATGAAAAAACAGAAACATCATCAAGGCCACTAAAATTCGTCTTGCAAGTGCATTAGTGTTTAAAATATAAAAAGGAGATAGGTGTTTATGAACTGGCGAAAAATGCTTGTAACCGTCTGGATACTCACAAATTTTGCTGCTAAAATTGCCCAGCCTCAGAAGTTGAACGTTTTCTTTAAATGAAAGACGCATTCATGTTGAGTATAAGGTGTTATAGCAAAAGATAGCAATTGAATGAAGTAACTTCATGTTTATGAAGTTGTTGGAATCAATTTAGATTAACCTAACTATTGAATTCTAAGTAGGTTATAAGTGCAAAAGTTAATTTATGTGTTAGTTTCAATCATCAAGCATTAGCAAACTAAAAGCTGGCCTGGAGTAATTTTTTGTGCCAAGAAAAATACCCTTTAAAATCATAAATATTGTGTAGTGCTTTCAACGTTTCGACTGTAAATATTTTAAATAACTAACTTCGAAAAATTAACTACATTAGCAAATAGATTCTCGATGTAAAAGAGGACGGCGAACTAACCACTGATATCGCACGGAGGGTCAAATTATGGAAATCCCAGCGGTCGTAGTATTTGTATCCATTTAGCATAATATCCAACCCTGAAATATTTAAATAGTTTTAACATAAAATACGAGTTTGATATTTGGTAGCGGTCTGTTATAATCACATTATTGTCTGACTCTAGCGGCTGTAAACGAACTATCCACAAACATTTCTTATCTCGTATACTAGTAGTAAATTAATAATTATATTTAAGAGCGTATTGATTTTAAACTAAATTTGTGGGAAAAGCTTGACATGGCTGACAGAGCTGACTACTAAAATATAATTTAGGCCTCTATTATTTTCCAACATGGAAATAGTTTCATGTAAAAAAAAGAACTCGCGTTTAGGACCCGGCTGTTTCTAGCTTGATTTTCTCTTTTAGTCAAATCCACAACTTGCACTCGTGTTGCTTTACGTGCTGCATAAACGACTGGACGGGCTCGACTTTTTCGCCGAATAATCATAAAAAAAGGAATCTTATACTGCAAAAGTACATAGTGGTCAAAAAGACCAAGCCGCTAGTGTCCGCAGTCAGACGTGAACAGAAGTGATATTTATTGCTTCACGGTAAAAAAGACCGCTCCACCCCATCGTCTGCGCAACGTCTTATAAAGGTGTATTCCGTTTTTCCAATTCATTTTCTAACTATTCAAAGTTATCCTTTTATATAGAGCTTTTAAGCAATAAATATCCATATTAATAAATATAAAACTTCTAATTGTGGCACGTGTTCATTTAAAATTATTTTTTATTTCCTTAATGTTGTAAATTTAGATTTTTGGAAAGGTTGTCTTCATAGACATGTTAAATTTTGCGTTGCGCTGCGAAATGATGCTGATAAATCTATTAAACGTGATTGTTTTGCTTGACAAAATATTCAGCAGTTGGTGCTTTCAAATCTGATTCTAATATTCAAGTTTTGAAACATCGCAGCAATTTGACAAATTGTCTAAAAAGACTAAAAAATGTATCTCCATTAATCTGTTGAAACCTGAGTCCACTTTCATGATGATTATAGCGGCTTATTTAGGTTTTAAATTCTTTCTTTAACAAAGCACCTAACAAGGAATTATGAATAGCTCTATAGTTTTTAGTTCTTGCTTTATGAATACTTATTCATTCTTACTATACATACTTACAATTACTGGTTACCATTACGTCATATTAAATTAATACTTATGCTTAATTACACGTAGTATCCCAAGTGAATGTGTTCACAGTAAGTAAACGTTCACAAACTGAGAATGCAATGTGTTTACAGTAGATATGATGCTGGAATAAGAGCATTAGTTAGTCGCAGTTATAAATGTTAAACATCATCAATAGCCTTTAACAGTCCACTGCTAGACATAGGCCTCTCCTAAGAAAGGAGGTTTTGGCCTACTATGTTAGACATATAAAGCTAAAAGATGTTTTATTTTCTTAAGTAAATAAGAACAGAAGCGGACCCACAAAACGTCCTTATCGTATGTCGTGTGAAATCAACTATTTATACTGTTGGCTGATAACACTCAGTGGAAATTTCTCCACATATTGAAATAAGGCACTTGTTGTCACTATTCGTCCGTGTGGTGACGGATTAAGAATACAAATTGTCACCACCCCAATTCATCCCGTGGGTGTCGTAAGAGCCGACTAAGGGAGCAAACTAAGCAGGACAACAGCACTGCAAAGAGAAGGAAAACTTGAAACAAACCCTATACCAACCCGTCTGGCCAGCGTGGTATAGTAGGCCAAAACCTCCTTTCTAAGGAGAGGCCTATGTCCAGCAGTGGACTAGTATAGGCTGTTGATGATGTCACTATTCCACAATATTATGGAACTGTACAAGTGACTTTTTTCAATATGTACGAAGTTAACTTTGGCCAATTTGATTGATACCTACTCTTTAGATTTTAGTATTATAAATTAGCAAAAAAACCTGTATCTGAACTCCATACGCCAAGGATAACTTGCTCCAAAGGATTACCTTGTTTCCTCCCAAAATTAAATACATCCACAAGTGAGTAGTTAATGTCGAAAACTGCATGAACATACAAAAAACATGTCTGTTAGTTTTAAGGTGTAATCAGTAATAACTTAAATTGTGACTAGGGAGATTATTACAAATAATCAAATAATTAAATTAATAAACAATTCATCCCGTGGGTGTCGTAAGAACCGACTAAGGGCGCAAAACAACGCAGGACACCAGCACTGCAAAAAGACGGAAAACTTGACACAAACCCTATACCAACCCGCCTGGCCTTCTTTCTAAGGAGAGGCCTATGTCCAGCAGTGGACTATTAAAGGCTGTTGATGTGATGTTGATGTGAATCAAATAGTTTATAGTAATTTCACTAACAGGCAATTTTTTTTACTTTTTTAAAATTTAATTTCTATGAATCTTAAAAGCTATTTTCAAATCTCAAACTTTGGTAAAAGCTTTGAATTATGTTATTTATTTTTATTTTTCAAAAAAGACAACTGCATTAGGAATAAGTATATTCTGTGTTGCTGGGGACTTTACAAAACATACATGAAACGGACACGAAGAACACCTAGACTCAGAACAACAAGTTGTAGATCACACAAAGTATAGTCCCGTGTGGGGATCGGACCCACAGCACTTAGCGTAGTAGTAAGCGGCGTGGCGACCGCGACCGCGACCGCGTGAGTTATATTATAATCATATTATATTAATTACCACTATATGCAACAATGGCGATATCAGCATCAATACTCAGATTAACCATTGAAAATGTGTTGTCAATATATTCAGTTAAATTTGCGGAGTCTGTGATGTTGGTGAATATAAGCCATGCGTGAACACCGTCGAATAATTTGTGTGTTGAGGCCTGGAAAATGACAACGTTTTTAGGTGTCTGTGATTATATTGGATTTTTAATTCCTTGGCATAATAGCCATATTTTAATCTTTTTTTTTCTCACACTTCTCACACACGGTAACCATATGGTAACCAGACTACTGATAAAGATACTTATTTATTTTTAAATACATACATATTATTGATAAATTACACCCAGACACAGAACAAATGACCGTGCTCATCACACAATATTTGTCCATTAATCTACTAAATACTAAACCATTATAGTGATATAAAAGCATCCCCCTTTTTAAGTTAAACTTTTACTATCAATGAATAGAACAGCTGTTGCAACTATGCTCACACTTTACAAAGACTTAATTTAGACTTTACTTTGACACTATTTTGCACACATTTAATCAATTTCTATCCGTGTGGTGACGGATTAAGAATACGGAGTGTCAGCACCCCAATTCATCCCATGGGTGTCGAGAACCGACTAAGGGACCAAACTACGCAGGACAACAGCACTGCAAAGAGAAGGAATAACTTGACACAAACCCTATACCAACCCGTTTGGCCAGCGTGGTATAGTACGCCAAAACCTCCTTTCTAAGGAGAGGCCTATGTCCAGCAGTGGACTATTACAGGCTGTTGATGTGTTGTGATGATAATCAATTTCCTCTATCAGCTTTCTCGTTGGCTTTACAATTCTACCATAACGAGTTGCTTACTCAAACTCTAACTCTCTTTATTTCATAAAAAAAAAAATGTTTGAAATCGTCTTTTATCTAGACTCAGTCATAGATCAACACACACAAAAGCAACAATCTCTGTTTTGTCAAATAAGTTTAATAAAAATCAAACCCATACAAAATCTATGATATGCCTGTGCCGATCTACAACCGCCCGTTTCCAAGGGGTGAGATTGGAGAGCTGAGCAATGGACTTATAAATACGAACCTGGTCAATGACACGCTGTGTGTTGTCACAATAGCCATCCAGCAGGACGCCGACGGGCACGGTGTACTGATGCAGTAACCGCTTGAGATCAATATTCATGTCCTCGTCAATACGGCCCACCGATATTCGGATGTCCTGTTTTGTTAATTTGTATGCGAGGATGGCGCTGTCTGTAATGTTTCAGTCAACTATTTTGTTCATTTGATCGAATACAGAGTAAAAATTTAGATTTAAATGCAGTTAAAAGCTATTTAACTTAGTGTTAAAGCATTAGTTATTTTAATTTTATTTAAATAATGTTGTAAAACCTTAAGAATTTCGTGTTAGAAAAATAATACCTAAAGGTTTTTGGTCTTCTTTGTGAGTTATTTTTTTAGTATGTAGGTATAAAAAAGAATTTTAATTGAAGATACATAAAACTTTTATTGTGTTTAACTAGTACATATCTAACTCTTTTTACTCACGCATAAAACAATGTAAGTTATTTAAATATATCCGAAAATAACAGTGATCTAAATAATGTATATTACAGCAAACATATCTGGTTTGAATTGATTTTTGAATTGAACTACACACACATGTCAAAGTACTTACAGTAATTACTCCCACATGTAAAGTAAGACACGTATTTGATATCCTTGTACAACATGTAGTCAATGGTAATGTTAGCTAAATCCTGGTTATAACCAAATGCAAAGACAAAAGCAGTGTTTAAGAAAATAAGTGAAATCATTTTGCGGAACGTCTCAGCTCCGCGATCGCAAATTCGATGTGGGCGATTGACGACTTGATGGGCAAACTCGATCGCGTTAATGTAATGGCCAGCATTTTACCTGTCAATCATACGTCAGTAGTGATTGTACTCTTCAAATTTTTTAATGGGATTAATACATTTTTCAGTAGTTCCGCTATGGGCAATTTATATCTGTGTGTTATAAATTAAAGTTGATTTGTCTGCAATTTATAAAAAAAAAGAATGTTAGTGATGCTTACAAAATATCACATACAGTTTAAAGTCTGTTATTAAATTGTAATTTTGGTGGTCATTACTTAATAAAATTAAACTAGACAATAGTCAAATTATCTTAGAAAATTCGAATTTTTTGACAGGGTTATATATTGCAATTGAGATTAATATCTAGATTGTCTATTATCTTTGGTTCAATTCAACAACAATGATTGTGTGGATTTGTTCCGTCCGTCCGAGTTCGTTAATTTTGATTTTAAACCGGCGGGAGGCGTTTGGGACACAAAAAGTCGCTACTGGGTAAAAAATACCACACTAGACGAATGCAATTATTAAATTATGGGTGTATTAATAAGTAAATATAAATTAAAACAAGATAAATATATACATCATTTAAAAGGCAACGTGATAGCTAATGTGATATGTATTTATTTCGTCTTACATTTGAACTTTAATCGCTAAATGTTAGCATTTTTTCTTATATCTATGAACTTAAAGACAAAATAGCTTTAGACTTTGTATTACTATTAGATTAAGAGCAATTACAAAAGAATATATTATTATCTCACTTATAACTTAAAAACAATCAACATAATTTCAATCAACAATCACAAATAAAAAATTGTGCGTTTTAGTTTTAGACAATTAAGATTTTTGTTCATCATACATTATTATTTAGTTATGGCAAAACGTACACGATGTTTTAGTTTTCTGTCCTATCTCCATGAGCATACGGTAACGGGACAAACTTATGTTGGATCTTGGCTCGGATGGATGTGGTTGATCACTGTGATCTTTCTCATCACCACCAAGCTTCAATGTTTTTTTTCATTTTTACATCAATCAGTAAAATTAACTGTAGTAGTAGCTGTTTTCCTTATTTGTGGAGTTACGAGGTTCAATGCTAATTTTTTCAAGACGAAATAATAACCAAATCATGTCATTCATACATAACTTTTACATAAAAATTAACTAGGGGCGAGCCTTTGCGAAATACGGAATACAAGATACGGAATATGTATTGTTATTTTGTTTCTCCTATTTTGCTATCCTCATTTTGAAGAATGTCTGCTAGTGTGGCCTCTCGTAAGTTATTGAAATCTATAAAATATGCAAAAAATGCTATAAAAATTAGTACATGTCTTTATATTTCCGTAGCATCAAAACGCGTGGTACCGTGGTACGTCTGGTGGTCTGTCCCCTCTAACATAAAAAAAAGTGCAAGCGAGGGGCTTGTTCCGTATTATTTTCTAGGAAGGTATTTAAAAAGACAGCAATGTTTAGTTGATGACCAAAAAGTTATGACGTAAGTTCATGTGTTTTTTAAACGGTAGCGCATTCCGCCGGGATAACAGTCTTTTATTAGCTTGATATGTATGTATGTTGGTATGTAACAGAATCTTCGAAGGTGATTTTAACCCAATTGATTTGAAACTTTGCACACTTATCAAGGACCGATGACAATGCAATAATTTAAATAGTTTGTCCCATTATTCTGATCAAGTCCTTCAGGATTAACGGCTTTTTCCATACCTAAAAATATGGTAGTGTCTTTTGCCATGTACTAAGGCGTGCGCTGAAGCATATGTGATAAACTTACTTGTTGCGATCTTATTCTTGATAAGATAATAATCATCATTAATGACTAAAAAAGGAAAAAAATATATAGTTAAAAAAACACGCTTTTGCAGCTAGCCGAACTAAAAAGTACGAAATAATTTTCTATAAGTTCAAAAAGAAAAATCATTTTACTGTAGAAAGGAATTTTATAATATTATAATTTTACTTTTACCAATATCTGTCAGTAAAATATTTTTACAACAATTGAGTTCTAGCACCCCACGCTTTTTAACGATACAATGATTTTTCTTTTTGAGCTTATAGAAAATTATTTCTTACGATTTAGTTCGGCTAGCTACAAATGTGTAGCGTGTTATAGACCGTAAAATTCAACGTTACACTGTGTGATCATTATGCATGTGATGTGTTTATTTGTACCTTTCAAACTTAAAAAGAAACTAAATCCAAATCGATTCTCATATTAACAAAGTACAGATAGGTACAGACATACAGATTCACAGATACTGATTCAATTAACAATATTCAAAGAATATACGAGTTACAAATAAATAAAAATTAATTTAAAATTTATGCAAGTTGTCATTAAGACTTTAAACTAAAATTTTGTCAACTGTAAAATTGAATGTAACATTAAACCAAATCTTTGTGGAGAACTTGGTGCAGAGCAAACCTGTTCAGTATGTATCGTGAACATTTTGATTCCACACTGATGACATTACCGTTGTATAGAGCTCCAAAATTCTACTTATAACGATGCTATATGTTAATATATAATTTAGGCGAAAAGACAAACAGAAGACAAAGAGAAAAGGCGAACAGACTATACTATTTAACTTTATGAAGTTGTGTGTTCTCTAACACAGATAAATCATGTTTCATTACATACTTCGACAATCTCAAAACAACCGGGTTTACTCAAAAATTACGAAACACTCTTTCGTCTCATTTACTTTTATTGCGTTATGTTCTTGAGATAGACTTGAATTTATCTGAATACGTATTTAAATGGCTGCCTGGAGGCACATGTAATTACACATACAAACTCTTAAGGAAATAAAATTAGTTTATCCTATATGAAAGAGTATGTGTAGGGATTTTTTTTAAATGAAATCATTCAGGTCTAAAAATGTTCCGGCTCTGACTAGCAGAAAAAGGTTTTGGTAAGAAGGGCCAATGAATATACTGTTCGACTCATTGCTTATGAGTTTATTTCTGATCTTATTTATTTTTATTGTATATAAAAACATTTAAAAATAACTTATATAGAGAATGGTATGCATATAGGCGTGCTTAACCTATAGTTGAATTCTCTTGCAGCAAACCTTAGAAATGAAGTGAGGAAATGAAAAACAGTAAGAGCCAAAGCAGTGTGTACTTAAAAGTAATTGAAATAGAAATATATAACTAATTGTTATGTCTTAACAATTAAATAATATGTTTGCTTTCATGAATATTGATATTAATATATTTTTAAATGTCGGAACTAAATTTACTTCAATTCCTAACCACAAATAAAAGTAATATAAAGTAAAATAGGCAGTAAATTTGGGGGACACCCTAGTGGTAATATATTTTTGTTGATATATTTTGTATTACCTATGTTAAAGTAATATTTAGTTGACATGCTGATCGATAGGTGGCGCTGTACTAACTTCATAATATTAGATCGCGGTGTTAAGAGTCTCCGTAGTTTAAAGACATTGGTGATATTTTTTTAAATAAAATAAGATTCATTGGCATATTTCTGCGACTCATTTAATCCTTTGCATAGTAACTGGGTCATCCCGTGAACAACCTATGATATGATTATGAAGATAATATATTAGCTTTAACTACACCTAAATAGAGAAAAGAAAGAAAAAACAATTTCTATAAATAAATATATTATATTTATTATAGTACTTATGTCTATTATGCGAACAGCCAACCCGGTGTTATTATGGAATTCAGTTTGCGGAAACAGTTGCGATTATACAAATTGGCTCAATTACGGCGTCGTATGAATATTAAACCCTTCGACCTTTTAGCCCCAGCCAGGTAATGCGATGCTTGTTGCTTTTATATCTTTTATAGCTTTATTGAATTATTGATAACGGTCCAAATTATCGTTATTAATGAGTCCACAGTTTCCCAATTTCGCAACGCGTTTGACACTCCTGAGTTGCAGACGTTCACGGGCGGCGATGGTCACTTTCCATCGGGTGACCCGTCTGCTCGTCTGCCCCCTCTAACATAAAGATTGTGAACTGTGAACATTACGATATCAGTTTCTACTATTTCTCGAAAAGCCTTTGGGAACCGACGCTTTAAGAGGCCTCAAACTGACGCCAAGATATAAAAAAAATTATAAATATTTTTTTTATTTCATCCAAAGCAGCTTCTGCTACTATATGTCTCTTTGTTTGATGATGGTGAGTGATATTATCTTTAAATGTTTCATTCATAGGAAATGGACTTATCTTCAGGACGACAAGTAGTTTTACCAATTAATTAAAGGTAACTTAGTTTCTGATTTTTTCCATGCAAACTCAAGTAAAATAAAAGTTTCTGAATGAATGATTAATGATTAAAAGTTTTTGAATTTCTGAAAAATGATTTCCTGTTTTTTAACCGACTTCAAAAACACAAAAGGTATTTTTTTGGTATGTTTGCGTACTCCCGAGGTGGTCCCATTATCACATAATTAGGATCTGATGATGGGATCCTAGAGAAATTGAGAAAAACCCTCAAATTTTACAGACCCGACACACGTTGTCTTGGCTTGTTTCTCTAGCTAAATAGGTATTTGCATTTAGGTATAAACATTTAGACAAAAAAAAGTTTGTTAAGCTTTAATGTTTATTACCTCAAAACTCTTACATATGTCAACCGATTTGGGATATTCTTTTTTGTTTGGAAGGGTATATTTCCTCTTTGATTGCATTCAAATGCCACTCCTAGTGATGGGAAACGTAGAAAACAATATATTTTCAGGTTCAAATATAACATCTTACTACCTTATCTAAATAAAGCAACGGACTTATAAAACTAAATTAAATACAATCCAACATACTACAGTTGGGAATTGCATATTACAGTACGTAGTGTTTAAAATATCGTACTTATCTACTCATTACAAACATTTCTTACACTAGAAATAGTAAAGTAAATACTTTAAAAAGTTGAACCGACTTCAAACAATACTA